TGAGCAATCCACCTGCCTCGGCCTCTCAGAGTGATAGGATTACAGGCATGAGCCACAACACCTGGCTATAATTGATTTTTGTATATTGATTGCCTTTAAACTGGCAGGTTGTTTCTTTCTCTTCATTCATATAGTTCCCTGAAATCACAATTGTCATAAAAATTCTAGTTTTATTTAAATTGTTTTTCTTTTTTTTGAGGACTTTTTTTCTTTCTTACCAGGCAGACTTGAGTTACATCAATACTGAGCTATTTTCAGCATGATAATATGCCTTCAAACATTTGGATACTTGTTAAATGCATCTATAGACACATTTTTTTACCACCTGCTTTTCTGTATGGTTTGTATCAGCTAACATCTAATCACTGAGAGTGATATTTCATTAAAATAGAGGCCTAAGGATGCTTGAGAATAATCTGTGGAAGATTCTCCTCCTCCCAACTGCTTCCCTTCCCCAAACTAACAAGGGGCTGTCATTCTGATTTGCTATGAAAAATACTCAGTTTCAGTTTAAGTTACCTAGAATGAGTAATAGCTCCTCCTTGTTGCTCAGGTACCTTAATTCATCAGTCCCCTACTCTGACCTTGTGTACATCACATGCTTAATCTCTAAAACTTTGAGTCCTCATTGTGACTTACTGCAGAGACTAATCTCCCAGAACCTAGAGCTAGATGCTTGTACACTCCAGACTGCTCAGCTAGTTGGATTTCTTCTCTAACCCTGCTTTCTGGACATTGTTAGTGCTAGCCTTATTCTGTCTCTTCTCAGCTTGCATGTGTAATAGCTTTGCTGAGCTTTTGTGGCCTTTGCTTCTTTTTAATCCTGCAGTCTACAACTTTCAAATATACAGGAGACTTGGTGGATCATGCATTATATGTCACATGCAACTAAAACAGAAGATATAAGTATAGTGATATATCTCCCTTTAAAACTTCAGACAATGCCTTTGTGCAGTTTCCTTCTGTATTTTTTCTCCCCTTCCTGATCCCAGTGCCTTATTGTTAAACTATGTGTACTGCAACTTTTCCAACTGTAAAGAATATTCAGAAAATAATTTGATGTTCAATATCTTCTATTACTATGTAGCACTCAACTTCTACTTTAATAACTTTCAGAAGACAGCAAATTTGGTGTTTATCAAGCTTCGTAAAATGGTTTATAAAAACTCTAGAAGCCTAGTGTGGTGGCACGTGCCTGTAGTCCCACCTACTCAGGAGGCTAAGGTGGGAGGATCATTTGAGCCTAGGAATTTAAAGCCAGCCTGGGTAACATAGCAAGACCCCAACTCTTAAAAAAAATTATAGAGGTGTTATGATATATGTGGTTTTCAGTGATGATAGTTATATTTGGTCTTTAAAAAATTTTCATTGTCTAAATGCTAATTTTTGCCACTGTTCCATGTTTTTAGGATATTAGTGGCATGGAACTCATTCATTCTTGCTTAGAAGCCAGTGCAAATATATAGAAATATGTAAATGAAATTTAACTAGTAAATTTTAAAAAATGGGATTTCGTCAGTGATCTTGATAATGACAGGTGCTATTGTGGTGAGTTGTATCTTTGGTCAGGTTGGACTTCATTGATTCTGAACCAAAGGATTGTATAAGAAAGTAATGTTTACAGTTGTTACTATTAGTTGTAGAGCTTGTTGCTGTTTTAGCTCCACAGGGTATGCATTATAATTCAGTTAGCTATGTCTTACAGAACAACAATTTGTCAAATCCTAATTAGGTAAAGAGTATAATTTTGTAGGTGATATTTTCTAGTGCTAATAGCGGCAATACAGCTATAACTTTATTGATCTCCACTGGTGAAATGTTATTAGACCTGAAAGTAAATGGCTCCTTTAGTGCTGTATTTCTCTTTGAGTAGTTCATTAAAAAGAACATTCAAAGAATTTTAAATTGCTTTATTCTTTATTTGAACTAGGTGAGTCTTTTTCTAAATGACTTTTTAAGGTTCATTTTCAATTTAGTTTTAAAAGTTTGAAAGTACAAAAGATCTGACACAGCCCATTCATCACCCACATACAATTCAGAAAGAACTGCTACAATGAGGGGATTATATTTGATGAAATCCCTTCTGTGATCCTAGGTCCTGAAGTAAGAATATATAAAAATTGTGGCTAGGTGCAGTGGCCCAAACCTATAATCCCAGCACTTTGGAAGGCAAAGTGGGAGGATCGCTTGAGCCCAGGAGTTCAAGATTGCAGTGAGTTATGATCATACCACTGTACTCCAGTCCGGCCTGGGTGACAGAGTGAGACCCTGTCTTGAAAAAAGAAACTATCATACAACTTTGTTTCCTGACTTTTCCAGCCCTGCTTTCCAACGATAGACACTTTGAATTGTATTTTCTTAGTAATATTTTGTTCATTTCTATCCCCAGCACCTTGAATAGTGTCTGATTTGGTACCTAATCAATTTTTTTTTTTTTCTTTGAGACAGAGTCTCACTCTGTTGCCTGGGCTAGAGTGCCGTGGAGTCAGCCTAGCTTACAGCAACCTCAAACTCCTGGGCTCAAGCAATCCTACTGCCTTAGCCTCCCAAGTAGCTGGGACTACAGGCATGTACTACCATGCCCGGCTAATTTTTTCTATATATTTTTAGTTGGCTAATTAATTTCTTTCTATTTTTAGTTGAGATGGGGTCTCACTCTTATTCAGGCTGGTGTGGAACTCCTGAGTTCAAATGATCCACCCGCCTTGGCCTCCCAGAGTGCTAGGATTACGGGCGTGAGCTACCATGGTCACCAGTGCCTAATAAATATTGCTTGAATGAATGAAAGGATGTTCTTTCTCTGTTCTCAGTACTATACAATTTTAGGTTGAATATAATTTTTGTTCTTATCATCTTTACATACAGTGCTACTATTCATAAATAGATTCTATTCTGATTCTAGTTTCTTTGCATATTATGTAAACTCCCTTTTACCCAAAGTATTAAAAGTTGAGTTGGAGGTACCTTTATGTAAATAAACTTTTGTAATCTTCTCATGCTTGTAACTTTAAAAAAAAGAATTAAGTATTTTGAGGGAATTCTGGAGACTAGTCTTGTTAGGTTGGGAACTTGTAGTGTGGGGTGAAAAACAATTCTTGACATGAAGATTAAAATAGTTTTAAAGAAAGAAAAGTTTATTTTGCTCCCCAAATGGAGGGAAGGCTGTCCTTCCAAGTCTCATTCATTGAGGGGAAATTTTCTTGAATCATTTCTTTGATAAGTATATGCTCCTCATCTTTCCTCCCTGAAAGAAGTAAAAGAAATCTGTTTTCTCTATTGTCTCATTCTAGACTTTTTATTCTTGGGATGTTGGACTTCATGGATTGTTCTTTAATTTTTTTTATATCTTGGTCTTCAACTATTCTTCCTCTTTGACTTTGTGTTGTAATTTCTGGGACATTTCCTTACCATCACCTCCCAGTCCTACTATTAGCTTTTTATTTGTGTTATCAAATTTGAAAATACCTTGTTTTTTGTTTTCTGATTATTCCCTTTTTAAATACAGTATTCTGGGATTCAGTTATTCTGCTGTGTATATATAGGCTTTTAACCCTTTTCAATTTCTTCACCTCACCCCTCTTTTTTTTTGTAGTACTTGCTATCTTCAAGGACTAAGTTAGTAGAGGTTTTGCTCCTGCCTTCTTAATGGTTTCTCTATCTGTATGCATAGGTTATCTCTGCTCTCTGTTAAATGTTTAACCTTTTTTTTTTTAACATCTACTTTCCAGCTTCTAAATTTTTTTGGTGGGGAAGGTTGAAATTATTTCTTTGTTGCTTCAATTTTATTGTCATTGAAATGTTAATATAATTTCTTTTTTTTTTTTTTTTTTTTTTTTTTTTTTTTTGAGACAGAGTCTGGCTCTATCAACCAGGCTGGGGTACAGTGGCCCAATTATATCTCACTGCAACCTCAAACTCTTGGGCTCAGGCAATCCTCCTGTCTCGGCCCCCAGAGTAGCTGGGACTACAGGTGCTTGCCACCATGCCCGGCTAATTTTTAAATTTTTTATAAAGATAGGGGACTTACTGTGTTGCTCAGGCTGGTCTTGAACTTCTGGCCTCAAGCAGTCCTCTCACCTAGTCCTCCTAGATTGCAGGGATTACAGGCATGAGCCTCTGTACCTGGCCAGTTAATACCTTTTAATTGTCATCTTGGTGTGGTTTTATTGGAGGAAGAAGAGATATGTGCATATATTCCATTTGCCGTTTTTTCTTTCTTTCTTTTTTTTTTGAGACAGAGTCTTACTTTGTTGCTCAGGCTAGAGGCGTCAGCCTAGCTCACAGCAACCTCAAACTCCTGGGCTCAAGCAATCCTTCTGTCTCAGCCTCCCCAGTAGCTGGGACTACAGGCATGTGCCACCATGCCCGGCTAAGTTTTTCTTATATATATGTGGCCAATTAATTTCTTTCTATTTATAGTAGAGATGGGGTCTCACTCTTGCTCAGGCTGGTTTTGAACTCCTGACCTTGAGCAATCCGCCCGCCTCGGCCTCCCAACAGCTAGGATTACAGGCGTGAGCCACAGCGCCCGGCCGGTATATGCCATTTTTTAAAGTAACTTTTAACTGACATATTTGTACGTATTATTGTGATAAATCTACCATTTTTAAATTTTTTTAAACTTAATTTAATTTTTTTTAAAAACTGAGACAGGATCTTGCTCTGTCACCCAGGCTAGAGTATAGTGGCATCATCATAGCTCACTGCAACCTCAAACTCCTGAGCAATCTTCCTGCTTCAGTGTCCCAAGTAGCTAGAATTACAGGCACGTGGCACAACGCCTGGCTAATTTTTCTGTTATCTGCCATTTTAAGTTGGAGTTTTTCTTCTTCTTTTGAGGCTCCTATAATTTTATGGTTGTAATTGATTTGGCCATTTAAATATGTAAATTTAACGTTGATTAGTTTGAAGAAAATAATGAAATATTGATTTGATCTAACTTAATATCCAGTAAATAATGTGCTTTGTAATAATGAATTCTTTGAATTTTATTTTTGTAGAAGAAATTGAGGAAGAATCTGAAACAACAGTTGAACCAGACTTGACTGATAAACAGAAACATCAGTTGAAACACAGGGAACTCTTTTTGTCTCGACAGTATGAATCTCTGCCTGCAACACATATCAGGTAAGAACTTTTTTACAAGTTAATCTAAAGTCAGTAAGTTTGACCAAAAAATTAAAAAAAATTTTTTTTGAAACATTTTCCAAACTCAGGATCTTGCTGAGATTCGTTTATTAAAGACTTCATAACTGAATTTTATCTTGGAAATTTATAGTATATATTAGCATATTAAAGCTCTGCAAAAGTTCTGCCATAAAGTAACCGTTTCAACTTTGTTTTAATCCTAATTCTCCCAATTTATTTGACTATCTATTAGCATCCTACAGAATGGAGTCCAGAAGACACCATTTTGGGAAATGCTGGTTTTCTTCAGAGTCTGAGAAAATTATATAGTGCTTAATTAGAATTGAAAGGTTAAAACCCAAAATATGGTTGGTTATATATGGCACAGGTGGTTCTTGACCTTGTAGGATACATGGCTATTTATTTATTTAAGGGTCTCTGGGCCAAAAACTTTACATGCTTTATTATTCTTATTGCCATCAGAGGTATGTATTTTTTTTTTTTTTTTTTTTGAGACAGAGTCTCACTTTGTTGCCCAGGCTAGAGTGAGTGCCGTGGCCAGCCTAGCTCACAGCAACCTCAAACTCCTGGGCTCAAGTGATCCTGCTGCCTCAGCGTCCCAAGTAGCTGGGACTACAGGCATGCGCCACCATGCCCAGCTAATTTTTTTATATATGTATATTAGTTGGCCAATTAATTTCTTTCTATTTATAGTAGAGACGGGGTCTTGGTCTTGCTCAGGCTGGTGAACTCCTGACCTCGAGCAATCCGCCCGCCTCGGCCTCCCAGAGAGCTAGGTAGGATTACAGGCGTGAACCACCACGCCCGGCCAGAGCTATGTATTGATAGGATATAATAAAGTGAAAAAACCAAGGCCTTAGTTTGTAGTTTTGGGGAATGTGGAGAAATAGTGATGGCCTTTGTGATTTACTTGTAGTGATAAAACTTAAGCATAAATACAATTGAGCTATTTTTCTGTGTAGTCTGTAATAGGTGCATCTTAGAAGTATAACAGAATGTTAGAGCTCGAAAGACAGATGGATTCTGACCTTGGTCAGGAAAGCTTCAGAAGGAGTTGACATTTACTTGGCCTTCAAGGCAGTGTGGGGCACAGGTCAGGTAGGGGTAACAGGTGAGCATGGGGTGTTTACAGGGGAAAAGCTCATGACCAGGGTGGTGTGTGTGTGTGAGAGAAAGCAGTGTTTCAGTCCCCTCAGTTTGAAGAAATTCCTTCATTTTTTGTTTATAATCTCTGTTTCCTTTATCCGGCTCTCTGCTGGTTATAATGGCCACAAAATAAAATATATCAACAGTTTCAGTAATTACTTCCTCTTCTTTAGCCACCAGTGTTGGGATTGAATCTTCTGCGTTCAGACATGTACATATGCACACAGACCCCCTCCGCCCCACAATTTCAGGTACCTTTGTGCGCAATTTTTTTTTTTTTTTCAGAAATGGACCTAGAGATCTTCCATGGCAGGAAGTATATGACAAAGATGATAAAATTAGTTTTTCTCCAGATCTTTCCAGAAGTAACTTGATCACCTTCCCTTTCAATAATTAACATTATATTATTGCTTTATTTAGGTTTTTATAGGGGGCACTATTCTAGAGTTAGTATATTCTATGTGCTTTAAGTCCTTTTCTAGAAAAAATAATCAGGCCATGTAATGTCGGAACAGTCTTTTTACCCACCAAGAGGGCTATTTCAAGATAGAAAAATAGAGAATTTGGTTAATAATTTTTGCTCAAAGAGATAGGACATATAAAAACATTTTTGAGATTTTCTTAAAGTTGTGTATAACTAATAAGTGCTAAAGAGCCAGATGCCTTTATTATTTGATTCAAAGATGGTGTAGAATATAAAGATTTGTTTTAAGCTCAAGAAGTTATGTGGCTAATGGTGAGAACCTTGCCAAAACAAGAATCTGACAAATGGTTTTTTAAAATGTATCCAAAACATGCAAGTATATTTTTAATTTACCCTTCTGATAGCTCGGAATCTGTTTATAAGTAATGTTGGTTTCTTTTAACAGATTGCCTGGAATGGAAAAACTAGTGGTATATTTTTTATCTTTCATAAGGATTGAGAGAGTATATTAAAATATAATTATCAAGTCACTCCTGTGTTGAACATAGGAATTACATAGCATCCATGATCATTCAGTTACTGTTGAATGCACTTCCTGTGAATATTCTACGTTAGGGAGTTTACTAAATGCTTGATAAGTAATATAAGGACCCTAGTTTGTAAATCCAAGGAATTTACCAGGTAGTTAGTCCTTTCAATTATGATGAAGAGACATAGACATTTGAGGCTTTTGTTTTTGTTTTTTCCCAGGTTGAAAGGGAATAGTAGAGAGCCCCCATTTTCTCATCTGTGGCTCTCAGTTTTAAACAGTTGGATGGAGTTAGGGGAAGTCTCTGGCAAAGCATGGAGCTATGCTAACCAGCCCACATGCTGATGTAGAACAAGTGCACATTGGAGTGGTCTTGACATTTTGCTACTGTTGAAGTCATGCCCTATCTATTTCTGCTTTAAAAGGAGAAAATTACTGAAGCCCCATTGTTCTTTGGCAGCAAAGAGGGGTAATTTGGTGAATACTGACTTTTTCCTCTAAGAGACATTATTAAGTGACCAGAATTTCCTTGGTACTATCTGGAACATAAGAGAAAACCTGACTGAGGCATTCTTGAAGTCCTTTGTAGTCTGTGAACTATAATCCTCACTGGATGCCATAAGCTCCCCAGAGTGGCAGGGATACAACGTTTTGCTTCTTTTGATTCTAATGGAAGAGAGGGAGAGGGTAAGAGTGGACAAGACCTGGGACTGTGATTCACCTGTTTTTTGTGAGACAGGCAGGGCTGGAGCAGTGAGAATCCCTTTGGGACATTTTTATAGTGGAAGGTGAGAGGCAACATGTTTCATTGATGCACAATGACAAAGGTCATTAAACAATAAATTGTGTCCTACAAACATTATATAGCACTGTAAAATTTATTGGTTTTTTTTTTTTTTTGAGACAGAGTCTCACTTTGTTGCCCAGGCTAGAGTGAGTGCCATGGCGTCAGCCTAGCTCACAGCAACCTCAAACTTCTGGGCTCAAGCAATCCTACTGCCTCAGCCTCCCGAGTAGCTGGGACTACAGGCATGCACCACCATGCCCGGCTAATTTTTTGTATAAATAAATATATTTTAGTTGGTCAATTAATTTCTTTCTATTTTTGGTAGAGACAGGGTCTTGCTGAGGCTGGTTTCAAACTCCTGACCTTGAGCAATCTGCGACCCAAAATTAAATTTTGTGGCTCAGGTTTGTAATCCTAGCACTCTGGGAAGCTGAGGCCAGCGGATGGCTTGATTCTGTCTCAAAAACAAACAAACAAACAAACAAACAAAATTTATTGTTATACGAGCTGCTAGATCTGTTATATGTATGCATTTTACTGTATTCAGTCTGTGTATGTATGACTAATACTTTCAGTAGTAGATTTTCTTACACACTGGTAATATTCAATAACTCTTTACATTTGTATCATCTAGTTCACAAATATCTCTTCATTCTGCATTCATCCATAAGTAGACTGTGAAAATTTGTAAATTTGAGATGGGTAACACAGCTACTTACAGTTGGAGAAGGTTAATGTGCTAGTTATTTAGATCTTTTCCCTAATTTTATCTCTGAACCTGTCCTTCCATTCTTTACAATGCTAGAGCTACCATAGTCAGTATTATGTATTGCTCAGGCTTATATGTAGCTCATATGTATTGTGTTGAATTTGGCTTTTAAAAATTCTAAAGTTTATTGAACTTTTTATGACTGGCACTATTCCATTGCTTTACATGTATCTATGGAGTAGGTACTATTATTATCATCCCTGTTTTACAGGTGAGACTGAAGCACATAATGGTTGAGTAACTTGTTTAAAGTCTCAGGTCATAAGTGATATATTTAGAAATTAAACCCAGGCTGTCTAGTTGCAGATACACAGTATTATGGTGAACACTTAACTGCAAGTATAAAAAGCACCAGAGACAGAAAGAAAGCTCCTCAGTAAATTGTTGAATTGGCAGGCTCCTTGATTTTCTATTTTTGACATAATTCTTCTATTAGGACTTTAAAGTCAAATGGACAGAACTAGGTTAACCTATTTATGGATATAAATTGAACTATTACACTAAAAGATAATGCTACAATGCTAGATGTATAGTAGGAACTAAGAAATACTTGAATGGGTGATTGCTGCCTAAGTGTATGTATATGTCTTTATATGTCCAAGATCATTTTTTTCATGTCTTGAGTACACCAAACCTGTTTTTTTGTTTGTTTGTTTTGTTTTGTTTGAGTCAGAGTCTCACTCTGTTGCTGGGGCTAGAGTGCCATGGCGTCAGCCTAGCTCACAGCAACCTCAAACTCCTGGGCTCAAGCAATCCTCCTGCCTCAGCCTCCCGAGTAGCTGGGACTGCAGGTGTGGGCCACCATGCCCGACTAAGTTTTTTCTACATATTTCTAGTTGTCCAGCTAATTTCTTTCTAGTTTTAGTAGAGATGGGGGTCTCGCTCTTGCTCAGGCTGGTCTGGAATTCCTGAGCTCAAATGATCCTCCTGCCTCTGCCTCCCAGAGTGCTAGGATTACAGATGTGAGCCACCACGCCTAGCCCAAAGCCTGATTTTTTAAAAGCTGCTAATTATAGCACTGGTACTTGTAATGATTAATACCTCTTCCTTGTTCCTGGTGCAAATAGTCATATTTAAAAAGAGCCAATTCTTTTCTGCTTGCCAATCTTGGGATCCAGAGCACAGCCTTTGAAGTTATGCTTCAGTGTGTCTTAAAAACATATTAATACTTGCTGATTATTGGCCTCAGTTTGTCCTGTAGTAAGGGCTTTGGATCTGATTATTTGTTCTCCAAGTTTATGTTGCTACAAGTAGTGAGTCATGGTAGAGGGACCCATCATATCCATGTAGGTGGACTTGTCCCTGGTTAGAGCATCACTATTGA